TCTCCTCACCCCGTGGCCTCAGGAGGAGAAGCAGGTAGCTTTTCTTTCCTTCTTGCTAACAAGTCTCTCCCTGGCAGGTTTCCAACCCCCCCTAGTCCTTGCTTACAGCTAGTGGAGATGGCCAAGTAGTATGTAATAAAATGAGCCTTTGCTCTCAGTTACAGGCCATAGTAAGGTTACAGGGAAGCCTCTAGGGAGTCAGACATTGCAGAATGTCTCCAAAAAGATCCTGGGAACAGCCACTTTCCTTCTTGATATAGTTCACATCTACCAGCATTAGTTTGCACAAAAACCATGAGTATTTCCCTTAGTTGTGCCCTGGCATTCTTCAGGTATTCTTTGCAGTTGAAAAATATTTGCTTTTCCAGTAAATGTTTGCAAAATGGAAATATTTGCTTCCCAAGTAGCAATGAGACCTTTGCTTAGGCACCATAAGCGCCAAGCCCATAGCTGCAAATAATTCCATATAGTGATGAGTATCAACCCATAGACTAACTTGTTCATCATTTGAACTAATCTGATTTTGCACTTAAAATTCTCACTGAATTATTCAGGAGAGAACTCCTGGGAGCACTCATATATGAAGTTTACTCAAAATACCATACTGCTATTTCTTCCTCCAGCACCTTCTTTCTGTCCCCCTCCAAAAAGTTTTAGCAACTGCCTAACTGATAGTCTGATCTTGAAGCCCAGTGACTTTGCAAAGAAGTTAAGGTTGTGATAGTGGTGGTCTAAGTTAGCACTATGAATAAAAATGATGGCAATTCTGTGGATGTGAAGCTATCAGAACTCACTGCCTCAATAGCTTTCATCATTTAAATAATATACCTCCTGATTTCTGCAGAGTAAAATAGTAGAAAAATTGCTTTCTTGGAAACTGGGAGACCCTGTGCCGTTACTATACAGACCAACCTCTTTGGACATCAGTTGTTCCATCTATAAATGGGGAGGATGACACTCTGTTTGAAGACACCCAAATCTCACAGAGCTTTTTTTAAGAGATAGAGTCTTGCTCTGTCACCCAGGCTGAAGTGCAGTTATACAACCGTAGCTCACTGCAACCTCAGATTCCTGGGCTAAAGTGATCTTTCCACCTCAGCCTCCCAAGCAGCTGGGGCTACAGGCACCCACCACCACACGAGGCTAAATCATGGAGCTGTTGATTCCTCTACCCAATTAGAAGTAATTGGCTTTTCTTTAAAATCCAAAATTAATGTTTCTTTTGGAACCAAGAGGCATTCCCAACACATGGACCCCTTCATCCTCTCTGCAGTCCCTCCTGGTGTTAGGATTATAAGGGGCAGATGAGGCCAGTCCTTTGTCTAAGGTGGACAGATGTCACAAAAGCTAGGAGTTAATTCTTTCAAGAATAGCTGGGCCTCAGTCCAGTCCCCCCGCCCCCCACCATCCCAACGTGTTCACACACAGACACGTACACAGTCTCTGCTCAGCACCTCTGGGCCAGCAGTCAGGCAAGTCCTCTCCCTAGAGAGAAGCAGTTCCGCAGTGATATCGGAACACATTCCAACAGCACATATTTATCTCTAGGGTCAGCCTTTCCTGTTGATGCTCAGGAGGCATCAGGGGAGGGGGGAAGAGGATTGGGATAATGGTTGTTGGCAGCCACAGGGGACAAAGAATGAGGGCAATAGGGATATGGACCTCACCCTTAGGAGAGTGGTGTTATGATGAGGTTTCCAGACTGTGTGCGGCCCCGTATTTCTTTCCTCACATCAGGATGAGCTCTCTAGCTCTTCTCTTATTAGTGGAGATGTGAAGTTGGACACTGCCTTTTCCAGAGCTGGCTAGGACCTGGTGGGTGGGGATCTCCAGGTGGGGGCCAAAGACCTGGAGCCAGGAGAATGGCAGTGTTTCCATTGTTCAGTGTAGGATCTGAGCTCTCTTGGGACATAACTGGTTCTACTTCTTCCTTTGAGCTCATCCACCTGTGCCAAGACCTTCAGGCTCTGGCAATGGGACAAAGAGGGCCACCCCTCTGACTAGGCTAGGCAATCAAATCCCAAGAGTTTAACACCGTTGGACACAGTTTCCAAGAGCCACACCCTCTCCTTCAGGAAAAGTGCCTGCCACCAGCCTGGCCAATGCCCAGGTAGCTTCTGAAGACTTCATCCCCACTCTCAACAGCTTTGAGAAAGTATGTTCACAGCCAATCTCAAGACTTTTGATTTCTTTATTATTTATTTTCAAATGAGATAATCTCATCCTCCCTCCAGGCTGAGTTCAGGAGGTGGGAGGGAGGAGGCTGATCCATCTGATTCCTTTTTACCAAAAATGAATCATGTCCCCCAACCCCCATCCTCGGCCCAGGAATATTTACCCATATTTATATAACCATGGCAACAGGTTTTATTCTGTATCACTTAAACTCTTTTAAAAAAAAAGAAAAGAAAAAGACAACTCTTTCCCCATTTCTGTCTCTTCCTCTGCCCAGATGAGAGCCACCTCTTCAGAAACAGGGTGAGGGAGAGACCCTCACACACTCCTGGCCTTCTTGGGGGCAAGGGACAAGTAAGTTGCAATGGCCCAGTACCATGAAAGGACTTCAGAGTTAGACAGTAATTGTCCTCCAATGTCCTGTGGGAACTACACAGTAATAGCACCTCTCACTTGTCTGGGACCTCTCTTTTGAGCTTTGCACTGAGATTATGGTTATCGATTTTTTTTTCTTGCCTTTACTTTAAAAATGGATGGAATGTGAGCTGGCTTTGCTAACAATATATTCTTCATCTGTAAGATGGGGTAAACATTCTCCTGGGCCTGACTACTCCACAGATCATTGTCAGAAAAGAGTTTTGTAAAGAATATAAAGTGTTGGGAGGAGGGGGGAAAGGCATTTATTGAAAACTTAAAATCTGTACCCCCATAATATGCTGAAATAATTTATTAAAAAAGAATATAAAGTGTTAGACTCACATAAACTCACATGAACCATAAACAAGGGAAACAGGTCCAATAAAAGAAAAGCATTTGTGTGAGGTCATACTTGGTTGTCACCAGTATAGAAGACCTTAACACTCAGTGCTAGGTTCTTGCCAAGAGATCAGCCTGCTTCTTTTGGAGTAGTAACCATAGCTAGCCTCCTGACTTTCACGTGGATTCCAGCCCATGAGGTCTCAGAGATGGAGAAAACTAGGGCTTAAACTTGACCCTAAAGACTATTTCAACCACAGATCCACAAACGTTTGGTCACAGTTTCTTACTGCCTGGCACTGTTTAGGCAGAGAGCTAACAGCGAGCAAAGCAAGGCCCTACAGACTGGGAACCCTTTTGTGGTGTTTCTCACCACTATGTAAGGGGCCTTCCGTGGACGGTCAGTGGTCGGGTCATTCTGTCCATACTAGAATATTCAACTCCAGAACTCGTTCAGCTGGGCTGGAAAGCGCGCATCCGTCTTAAGAGTGGCTCCCACTCTGAAAACCCCGCGAGTCCCAAGGAAAGGGGTCTTTCGGAAAATTTACTCTCGAAACTGTAAAGTCGGGGGCGATGCTGCTCAGACGGGCGGGGCCCCACTCCGCAGGGCTTGGCGAGAGGCTGGCCGGGTTCTGTCCCACCCGCGCCTCCCTTTTCTTTATCCATACTCTCCCGCTGCCCCAGCTTCGCCCGAACGGGACTCAGGGCCAGGCTGAAAGGTGTGGGCAAGGTCTGTGGTGATTGAGGACTTGGGGTTAAATGGAGAGTAGAGGCTGTTCAACTGGAATCTGCAAACCTTTCCTTCTACTAAAGATTCTCCTCTCCCCTCTCCCCTCTTGGCTGACACAGATCGGAATGACCGCAGCGTTTTCCCTTCGCGCCTTCTCTCTTGTCCTTATACTTTTTGTCCCCGCAGAAACCCCAATTCCTGCCTGGGGCAAAATTTCCCACGTTAGTTACCTTAAAAACTACACGTTGCTAATTGCTCTAATTACTCTCCAGGCCCGCGACACCGCCCGCGGCGGGCCCAGCCCAGGGGCGCGGCGTCTCCGCGCGCGGTGGCAACTGCAGCCGGAGGGCGCGGAGGCCGGCGCGGCGGGGCCCGGGCGCGGCTGGGAGGAGCTCCCCGCCCGGCCTGCGGCCCCTCCCGAGTCCGTCGGCCGCGACTCCATCCCTCAGGGCTGGCTGGAGTCCGCACAGCTCCGCGCCCGGGCCGTGCCTGTCGAATAAAATCCGAGCGTCTTCCAGTCCCCTCTCCCTTCCCCAACCTGAAAGCTCTGCGCCGAAGGCCAGAGCGCCAGTTAGGACAACTGAAGCCCGAGTCCTGCGGGGAGAAAGCTCCCTCCCCACCCCCGCCCACGCCATTGAAAGCATCCCCATCCCATTACCCCGTTTTATGTGTTCATAAACAACCACCATCTGAAGTTATCGCGTTGATGGTCACTTTCCCTGATTGTCTCCCCTCCCCTCCTCCCTTGTGAGTTGTTGAGAGCAGAGCCCCTGCCTGTCTTGTCCAGGACCCCCGGACCCACAGCCTCGCCCGAGCGCACAGCCCCTCCGCTGCTTTGTGTTAAGTAAGTGGACGGAACGCGCGGCTGCTCCGCTCCGCAGGTGAGGTGAGGGCTGGGAGGACCCTCCTCCAGGAGATGAGGTGGAGCCGCACTCCCAGAGTCCTCTTCGGAAAGAACAGAGCTCCTAAGGGACTTCTGGGGAGGTTGGCGGGTGTTCCTTTCCTCATCAGAGTTCGGGGAAAGTGACAGACACTATGCCTCTTGCTGAGACCGCTGCCTAGTCCCTACCGCCAAAACTAAGCGCGCCCTTTATAAGCGAACATGGGGTCCTGTGGTGTGTTGCCTGGAGTCGTGGTGCCCCCCGCCGCGCAGGCCAGGACCAGGGGTCTCCCAGCCAGCCCCGGCTCGGCTGCAGCCGGGCTCTGTGCAAACAGAGCGGCGAGGTCCGCCCGCAGCAGCCCAGCCCGGCCCCCCGGGCCGCTCTGCCCATTGGCTGAAGACATACCCCCTCTGAATTGTGATTGGCGGGCCCGCTTTTTCCCCCGCCCCCAGCAGCGACCACGCTCCGCAAGCAGCCGGGGAAGCCGCTCTGAGCCGGGCTCCGAGCAAAGGCTTGGCGCTGCGAGCCGCGCTGAGAGCCCGCGGAGCGCGCAGTTCTCAGTGGGGACAGGGTTCCCACCCGGGACTCTCTTGTAGAGCTGAGCCTGGCAAATGGGCGCATGAAGAAGGAGAGCAGGGAAATGGATTGCTATTTGCGCCGCCTCAAACAGGAGCTGGTAAGAGCGCAGCTGGCGCCCGGGGCGGGGAGGGGTGCTTCTCCCCGACGGTTCCTGGCCCCCGCCCAGACGCGTGGAGCCGGGACTTGTGCGGGAGGAGGAAAGCCTGAGAGGAGGGAAGAGGACGCGGACCAGCAAGCAGAGGGCAGGGCCTGTCCTTATTAGGGGCCACGAGAAAACTTCGAGCAAAGATTTGTGGGGAGACCAGACCAAGTGACAGAGAGACAGAGAGCCAGACACCAAGCTGAAATGTGACACAGAAACCGAGGTAGAAAAGAGGGAACATCCAGAGGCTGACAGACACACAGACGGAGCGAGACTCCGGCGCCGCTGACACCCAGGCCTAGGGAGCCGGGTGCGGGGGCTGCGCTGGGCATCCTGGTGCGCGCGGGCAGGCGCGACGCGGGAGGAGGCTGCGCGGGCTGGGTCTCCGCCCGGGGCAGGAGGTCAGCCGGACCGCTCGCTCGAGGGGAGCTGCTGCCGCCCTGGGCCCCCAGCCTTGCCGGGCTTGGCAGAGCTGGCGCGGCTGCGGGGGCAGGCTTGGCCGGCTGTCTGCCCGGGCTTGTCTGCCAGCAGGGAGGGGGCTGGCAGCTGTAATGACGGGGGAGGGCCCTGCGCGGGAGGAGGGGTGCTGCCTGGCAGATCGCGAGCGGGAGCTGCGGAGGCCCAGCCAGATGTCAGGTCTAAGCTTGGGGAGTGCACAGGGAGCGTGCGGAGGCCCCGGGGTGCAGAGGCTGAGAGAAGTAGCTCAGTCTGGGAGGAAAAAGAAACAACAAACAAACAAAAAGCTGAAGTGAGAGGAGTGGTGTCTGCTAAAGCTATGTTAGGGAGGCCCAGGTTGAGTCTCACTGACTTCATATACCACCCGCCCCCCTCATCCCTGCCACCTGCCGCCTTTCTTATTCCTTCACCCACCAGAATTCAGGCAGTTATAATGCTCATGCACCTCATTCTCTGCTCTGCCCATTTCCCCTTCAACCAGTCTCACTCTGTCTTTGCCTCCCTCTTTGACTTTTTGTCTCTTTTAGTTTGTCCGTCTTGAACTTGACTATTCTCAGTCTCACATTTTCTCCTGTCCTCTTCTTACTTTTCAGACCCAGGGGCACCCAGGCGCACAACCGCAGTCCTGGATCCAGAAAGTGCCAGGTCATGGCTTTTCAGATCCCCTGACAGCCTTTCCCACTCGTGCCTGCAAGGCCACACTCCTGCTTTAGGGGGGACTTGGCCCTGCTAGGGGCCAGCTTGCCGGGCAGGGTGGGCGGAGCTTGAAGTGGCAGGTGTGCTCACTGATGCTTCCTGACAAAGTCGCCCTGCCACTCTTCCCTGTCATCCCACTTTAGGGCCTGCCTTCTCAGATCAGTGATCATTTCTTTAGTCCCTTCTGTGGCTCTTTTTGTGGTGACACTCAGAGGCAAAAGTTACTCAGATAAATACTTCTTCAGTGAAAGACAGAAATATCCATTGCTGCTTTTCTGAACTTATAAATGCCCCTTTCTATACTAGTTTTCACATACTTCTCAGGTCAGTTTGGATGGCTGGCCCCTGCCCACACATAAATAATTCTCATTTTTCCCATTCATGTGTCCAATACCAGAAAGAAAGGTCAAGATATTCACAGATAATGTCTGGGATCCAAGGCCCATGCTGAGAAAGTATCTAATAGAATCCTCCCCTTTGTGCTTGGAATTGGGGACCACAACACCCACCTCAGGATCTGCCTTAATAGAGGGTTTGTGGGTGTTCCTGGCATGGGCTCGAATTTTAAAATCCTACTGATTTGCATTTTTTGCAGCACTCTAGGTGGGAGGTGGTGAGGGAGGAAGACAGAGTCTGCGGATGCCAGGAGAATAAAAAAGGCAAATAAGAATCTTCACTAAGTTGAGCTCCAGATCTTGATTTGCACCCTCTCCTGCCAAGCACTTAAGCCCCCTGTGCCTGGGAGGAGGAAGGGGAGAGGCTGAAGGCCCCAAGCTCCCCATTAGCTTTCATTTGGCCCTTTGTCTGAGCAGCTTCAGCCTTTGACTCTCTTGGAGAGGAAGCCAAATGCCTGGCCTGGGTCCCAGAATGACACTCAGATGGGAGAGCTCTGCACCCCCACACCCATGGTGCCCCGCCCCTCCCCAGTGCCAGCCTGCTCAGAGATGAGACAGAGCAGAGGGACAGGCAGAGCTAGTAGAGTTTCACACATACTCTGTCACCTTGGCTCAATGCTTAGGTAGCTGGGCCAAATCACAGTGCCTCAGTATCCCCAATGGCAGCAAAGGAGGAAGTAGAGCTGAGTTAGCCCACAGTCAGCCCTTTAGCTGCCTTTCTCTAAAGACTGTAGGGATTGAATTCAGTGCAGCTTGGTTGTGGCTGAGATAGGAAACTATTGGCTTGTTTATAGTCCAGGTCTGTAGTAGGGTTCGAAAGGCATACAGTTGGTTTATATTGTGAGCTGGGGGTGAGGGGTTTGCACTGCAGATGGTTCGTCCCAGGCAGGATCTCCCTTGCCACCCAGGAGAATTCCGTGTTGCCCGGCTCTGCCCTAAGTTGATGTGTACCCAGGAATGGCCTCATGTAATACTGGTCAAGTTCTACATTTATTTATTTCACTAAATTACCTTCATGTTGCTTTCAAGAAGCAAATGTCCTACAGACACTGTGGGAAAAGGAAACATTAGTAGGTTGTGAAATTCTTTGTTGAAGGTGTTTTGTGCTCCCCTTCTGCATCCTGGCCCTATCATTGGCCCAGAAAAATCTAGACAAGAAGAATCTATTCTGAAAACCAAAGTAGCAGAATTTTCCAATTCCCTGAAACAGAAAATTTGCATTATAACAAGTAAGTACTAGGAGAAGGCTGAGAGCTTGGGGATCCTGGCTCAATTAGGTTGATATCTAGAGCGCTGGCCCTTTCCTCCTGTCTGCAAGGGGAAGGGGATCGGGTTTCAGGGATGAAATGTGGCAGGAGAAGTAGCAGCAGCTGACACACTTCTTCATTAGGATGAGAAGGTCAGGGCTGCAACAGCCCAGCAGGGAACACATCTCTTTCCCCACTCCAACGGGCAAAGAGGGGCCCTCCCTGAATACAGGGCCTTGGGACCAGCTGTTCCTTGCACATGGCTCCCTTGTGGGCTTCCAACAAATGGGGTAGACAGAGGCACACAGAGGAAGCAGATGTAAGATGCTCACAGGGCATTCTTTGTGAGTTCAGGTCAGTGTAAAACAAATGCAATGCATACAGGCTGAGTGATCAGGGCTCATGAACTACAGCCAGGCTGAGAAGGCTTCCTGGAGGAGGGGAGGTTGGAGGAGGTCATCTCTGGGAATGTCCATCCTAGGTGAGGCATGAGGAAGCAGCAGAGGACTTCCATCAGGCTGGGGAAGGTCCTCCGAGGAAAACCTGGTATTCCCAGAAGGCATTTCTCTAGCCTCTGGTGGCCATAAGTTCAGAAGGTTGTGGCATATGGGTAAGGACCAGGACCTAAAGGCAAAATAAGAAGAAACGTAGGACATAGAGGAGATCCAGTAGGAGTAGCTTTCAGCTCTTGGGGCAAAAGGGTAAATTACCTGAGGCCGAAAAAAGGCTTTTGCAAAGAATCTCACAATGCAGTCTTCCTTGATGTTTAACGCTAGGGGCAAGGGGCCTTTGGGCCTAGACAGACAATGTGGTCAGTGGGAAGTGTTTGGAGCATAAGATTTGGGGTCAGGCCAACTTGAACTCAAATCCTATCTCTGTATAACCCTAACATATTAGCCTCTCTGTATCTTGGTTTCCTCATCTCTAAAATCAGGTTTAAAAATACCTACTTTATACAGCTACTGTGAAGACTAAATGACAATACCAGTGCCTTCCCAACTCTATGCCCTTCATACATAACACAGCACCTGACGTGTTGTAGGTACTTGGTAAACTCTTGATAATGGATTAATTAGACTGGTTTGCATAAGTCATTCATTCACAGAGCATGTTCATTGAGTTCATACTATGTTTAAGGTATTTACCAGGCACTAGTGCTACAGTTACAAATATATACAGACACAGATCCTGCCTTCAGGGATCTCACAATTTAACAGAAGAGATAATAACATTGATTGGTGTTAGCATTGATATGCCAGACATATAATGTATTATGCCATTTAATTGTCAAAGCAACACGAAGAAGTTGTACTTTCATTATTCTCATTTTATAAATGAGAAAAATCAAGGCAGGTTAAGTGACTTGGCCAAGGTCACAGAGCTGCTAGGTAGAGGAGCTAAGTTTCAGACCAGCCAATCTGGCTGCAGAGCTTATGCTCTTAAACCAGTACATGTATGCAAACCTCTAGTACAGAAATAGAGGATTGTGCTGTTTAGGAGGCACAGGTTCAGTGCTCTGAGAAGGGAGAAATAACCTCCAACTGGGAGATCAGGGAAAGCTTCGTGTCATGGAAGGGGTAGCATTTGAGCTAGACTTTGAGGGATAAATAGGGACAGAGGAAAAACAGCATTCTAGGCAGGCAGAATGAAACAACATGAGCACAGAGGCTGAAGGAGTGAGATGTCTGCAGACCAACTTGAGTTTGGCTAGAGCATAGGTTATGTGCAGAGAAAATGTGGGTAACAGGGCTAAAAGAATTGTTGAGTGCAGACTAAGGGGGGCCTTGAATGTTATGCTAAAGACTCTGACTTTTTCTATGTTCATTGGAGAGAGGCACAGAGATGTGCCCTGGGATCTAGGAGGTGGTATGGGGTGCAGGTGGGGTGAGGGAGGAAACTGAGGCAGAAGGATGAGTTAGAAGGTTATAACAAGAGTCTAGGCAAGAGATTATGGAGGCTTGCAGCAGAAAGAAGGTCCCTTGGCTACCCAAGGAATTTGATTGACTGCAGTGGAGGGGAGCTAAAGCTGGCCGGAGGGAGGAGGGCTTGCTGAGGCTAAGAGGCCAGCTCCCCGAGGAGGCAACGTTGGGCCCCCTCTCCATCTGCCGTCTGCCTCTTCTTGCCTGAGCATGTGACCCCAGTGGATGGCTGCGTTGGGAAA